GGATCTCCTCTATCTGCATAACAAACCTGCATGTGGATCTCTCAATCTACATAACAAACCTGCATGTGGATCTCCTCTATCTACATAACAAACCTGCATGTGGATCTCCTCTATCTGCATAACAAACCTGCATGTGGATCTCTCAATCTACATAACAAACCTGCATGTGGATCTCTCAATCTACATAACAAACCTGCATGTGGCTCTCTCTATCTACATAACAAACCTGCATGTGGATCTCCTCTATCTGCATAACAAACCTGCATGTGGCTCTCTCTATCTACATAACAAACCTGCATGTGGATCTCCTCTATCTACATAACAAACCTGCATGTGGCTCTCTCAATCTACATAACAAACCTGCATGTGGATCTCTCTATCTACATAACAAACCTGCATGTGGATCTCTCAATCTACATAACAAACCTGCATGTGGATCTCCTCTATCTGCATAACAAACCTGCATGTGGATCTCTCAATCTACATAACAAACCTGCATGTGGCTCTCTCAATCTACATAACAAACCTGCATGTGGATCTCTCAATCTAAAGTGCTTTTTTTTTCTTAAATAATGTGACAAAGAGTTCGATGTGACCTCGACAGGAAAGGATAGATATGAGGAACAGATGACGAGAGTCTTTATTCTGTTAAATATCTTGCAATAACTTCACAACCTCTTCACGGCCTGTGAGCCTTGATTCCACTTTTTAGTTAGTGAATTTGTGCAACTGCGTCATGTGAAAATGAAGCCTCTTGCTGTAAGAGGCTTCATTTTCCCTTCCCCGTTAGGGAAGACTCAGAAGGCTCGGAAGGCCCTCACACAGAATTAAAGTTAAAATGAAGATACGACTTTTCAAAGGACATGGAGAGACATCGGAAACACACCGGAAACCCATCTGCCTGCCTTTGTCCTTCGGGGGCTCCGTCCTTCCTCTGCCCTCCCGCTCTTAAGCATCGCTCCCAATGACTCTGCCAGGGGCTCGGGATAAAGAGCTGAGGAAAAGCTGGACCTTATTCAAGAGGTTCTATAGACAAGGAAGCACTGAGATAAAGGCTGGCGTGCAGCCCGATAGAGTGCAGAGGGGACGAGGACCTCGGTTTGGCCTAAGGAAGCAGGGCCACAGTCACTGGGGACCCAGGCCAGTGGTGCCCTCCCCTCTCAAACCTACCCACGGCACTGGACACCCCCAACAGATGTTCCCCCTAAAGCCAAACTGCCTCTCTAGCTGTTTTTTTCCAACTCTTACGACTGGAAGGAAAAAGTATTTAAAATATACCACCCTCTGGGACTTTTATTCCCTATAAAACTGTCAGGCCCCTCACTCAGCTTTCTCTTTGGAATGAAGCATTCCGGTTTATTTTAGCAATCAGACTGAGCAACAAAGGCCGACTTTCTCAGAGCTGCATGGGTCCCTCCTATCAAAGCTATCTGCTGCCGGCCAGTGAACCAGAGAGACCTGCGTGGCCATCTCATAAGAGTCAGGGACCCTCTTTCAACGCTGGATCCCTGACAACCCACAACCTAACATGCGAAGTGACACAGAGCAAGTTTGAAGAAATCATAAACAGCAAGGTGTGTTGGAGCTGACGTATAACTTCGGGGGCTCTCAGGGAAACCGTCGGCCCATCCCAATTCTTGTTTGTCAATGCACTAGGGCCAGGGGGCAAAATTCCGTCCTGTGTACTTTGCTTTTTCTGGGAAGAGCTCAACACCAACCTACGGGCCTTTTGTAGCGTGGCTCAAGGTTGTTTCAGACATATGTACACACATATATATATATATCCATGTATGCATGTGTGTATGCATATACATATACACACACTTTTTACTGTGCTAAATATACATAATGTCCAATTTCCCATTTTAGCCGCTTTTCAATGTACAGTGGGGTTAAGTCCATTCACACTGTTTGGCCATCAGAACCTCCATTTACAGAATCATCCCAAACTGAAACGCTACACCCATGAAACAGTAATCCCTCACCCTCTCCTCCCCTCAGACTCCTGGGAACCTCTATTCTACTTTCTGTCTCTATGAAACTTGACTTTTCCAGGTACCTCGTATAAGTGGAATCATACAGTATTTGTCTTTTTGTGACTCCTTTCACTTAACATAGTGTTTTCAAGGTGTGCCTATGTTATAACACGGATCGGAATTTCATTTGGTGGAATAATATTCCATTGCATGCACATACATTTTGTTTCTCTCAGAACAGTTTCTAGCACCAAGTTTCCTCTGGGGAGGCCTGCTTTCTACATCAGGCCTCACGAGCTCCTGCATTTGGGTCGATTTCCTCCTGCATTTAGCATTCGTACCTTCCTTTATGTTCTTCATTCACCAGGGTTTCGCGTGCTTCCCTCTTGATTCGTCGTACAACTGCTAAGTTCCCTGAACGCAGGAATCTCAGCCTCTATTTCCCACGTGCCACCCACCCACCCCAGCTTCTAGCAACAACTGGGCCTGCAGTAAAGACTTCCAGAAATGGATGAAGAGTTTAAGTGCTTGAAATACGCCACTTCTTGACTCAAGAAATGGTAAACAGAGCTCAGGAAGCAAAATGCACCTCCCTCCCAGTGCTGATGTGTTCTACGTTCTAGCCCTTTTATCTTTCTTCCCTCATCAGCTTTTCAGAGAACACAGGCTAATGGATGGTAGGAGATTTATCACTTGGGAAGTTACACACACACACACACATACACGCACACACACGCGCGCACACACACAGCCTAGCCCAGAGCTGCTTGAATCTTTCAACCTAGCCCTGCTCCCCGCCCCACTCCGACACACACACAGCCTAGCCCAGCGCTGCTTGAATCTTTCCACTAAAAACACTTTCAAGGAGGGTGAATAAGCCTCTGGGGTGCCAGAGGTAAGCTTGGAACTTCCTGAGGTCTCTGATTTTTATTTGAAAAACTGTTATTAATTTTCCATTTCACTATGTTCACTCTTGGTTTTTAAATATGAAAATGTTTAACCTAGGCCCACTGGTGTGAGTGAGGCATACACAGGCAAGCCCTAGTTAAGAAACACAGTGTGTGCCCGTTATAGAAGTGAGGTACTAACTCAACCAACGGCTGGGATTTAGAGGAGGCCACTCCTCAACCAGCTTCCTACCCACTTCATGTCTATGTAATAGAGTTGGCCAGCTGACTTAAATGGACTGGCTATGTAATATCAGAAAAAGGCAAAACAGTTTCTCCAGATGAGATAACAAACTGACTTGCCTGCAGTCTTGAAAAGCCAAGAGATTTAGCAGCAACTCCCAGGAGTGAAATTTACACCACCGTCCATGTCAGATCAGTAAGGGAGGGCAAAGGGAGGTGGGAAAAGGCTGGAGTCAGTAGGGTGGTCAGCCCTCAGGTCTATCAACATTGGGAGAAGGTTACAATGCCTGGGGCAGGAGGAGGGGAGACTCAAACTCCTGTCACTGGCATTTTTGTCTCCAGGCTTTGAGGAAGGGCTGGTCTTAAATTGGTTGGGAGTCCTATTTGTAAGGCAACCTTAACTGGAGACATTCAGAAAAGGAAGAAAGCAAACCATTTCTATAAATGTTAATTCCTGTCCATGATTTTTCTCTGGAGGATTAGAAAAGCATTCTTCACGCTGCACTGGAGGGAGCTTTTCAGTCTGTGTTTTGGAGTCCTCGTTTTAAAAGCATATGTTTGGAGCCCGCATTTTAAAACCGTATCTCAGAACTATCTCAGAGGAGGACCTCGGATTTGCTCTGTCAGCATCTCCCTGCACCATTTCTTTGAGCTGGGAACAAATGCCAGGAAAAATCCAGGTGGGCGGGAGAGAAAGCCAGTGAGCTGCAGCCGTGGGCTCTCTGAGGTTTAATCTGTTCAGTGTCCCTTGGGCAGGCCTCAGCCGTAGGCCTATAAATCACACGATCCCTTAACTCAATAAAAGCCTGCAGAGGGCATCTGAATCCCCCTGGACCATCCAGAGGGTGTCATCGTGAAGTGCTCTGCATTCTTCAGCCTCTCCATGGCGATGCATGAAGGCTCAGGGCCAACACCCCCCTCTTGGATTGCCTTTAAACCCAAGGTTTTTTTCAAACCAAAGGATCCCAGGAGCGGTAGCAACGGTGGGGTGGAATGTTTCTTGGCGGCAGGTGGAATTTGGGGGTTCTAGACCCAGCTCTGCCACAGCCTCCCGCCCCCCTCCCCCGCTGGTTATTATAGCCCGTGTCCTGCCTGTGGAAAATGAAGGAACTGCCTTTCTGACCTCTCAGCACCATCCTGGCTGGGACGCCCTAGGACTGCAGCTTCCTACCAGTTGCATTCAGAGTCTCACTTGACCCTGGTCTCTCTCAAAACCTTTCTTCTCAGGAGCTCCAAATTCTGGCAACAGGAAGTAACAGCCTCTAGGCCGTCCACAGGGCACACAGAATGGGGAAGCTCCCATGCTATTAATAGTTTCTTGAGTTTGTATGGGTCTTTGTCTTTTGAAAGCACTTTGTAATCCATTACGGTACTGAACAAAAGGAAAGAGAGAGCGGGGAGGGGTCGAGAGGTCTGCCAGGGACAGACACTGTCCTTACAGTGGGGCACCTCTTATGTGTCTGCTCCATCCACTGCAGCTGAGTCCTGGCTCTCCTTTCTCCTCTCTGTGCCTTGCAGCCTCAGCGTGTGTGAGCAGACACGGCAACTCTATGCTGCTGGGCAGAGGCAGCCCGGCAGCTTGTACAAATATGGCAATGAAGCCACAATTCAGACCCACTGGGAAGCCCACGCCATAGAGGAACATCAGTAAACAGCCCTCTGCCCGCCCCTGCATCTGCTTCCTGAGTTTTCTTCTGTATTTTATGGCGCACAGTCTTTCAGAATCTTAAGAGGGGGCTGTCACCTGCTGAATGAACTCTGTACTCCCTTGGATGTTGGTCTTAGAAAACAAACCCCAAAAATACCCCTGACACGACATAATCAAACCTGTCGTCTCTTTCCCTGAGCTGAGAAGAGACATCTGGTCTTAGCCAAGACGGTGGAGGCCACCTACCACGTCTGTGTTGGTGATCTTAGCCAGCAGCTCAGTCAGGGCATCGCAAGTGAGCGAGCTCACTTCCTCATCCTGCTGGAGGCCACAGATGGCTGCTCCCACACTTCCAGTTGCGATCATCGATGGCGGGTACATGGCGAACTTAAAGTCTGCGAGGAATGAGAGGCACAAGATCAGGGCACAGAACAAATTTGGATCCAGGAGCTCCCCAGACTGAAGAGACTCAGAAACAGGATGGCAGCAGGCCAGTGGCACAAGTGACCCCTTGCCCTACAGGCATGTCCTCCCTAGAGTTCTTTCACAAGGGGCCCTGTGTTTATTTGCCATCACCATGGCTGTTCCAGATTTAAACGGAGGAGACCGAGGCAGGGAAGGAAGACAGCTTATCTGAGTGCACACAATAAATGCACAGAGGATTCAAGGTCCCCAGTCCCCAAATCCCAGTCATATTAAGCATGTCTGAGGTAACATTCTTGACCCTGGTGGGGGCAGCAAGGTGAGTGAGTCATGGTCTCCTCTAGAGGTGATGGTGGGAACAGAGCAGAGAATGTCTGAGACCCGTGCAGATAAGGTACCCCATGGGCTGTGCAAGCAGGATAGACCAGGGGCTCCACATGAGAGAAGGAGGGAGAGTACAAGGAGATGGGAGAATCAGGCAAAATCTATGCAGAACGCTAATTCAGATGGGATCTTGCTACAGTTTCTGGACAGGCATCGAGGATTAGTATGACCCAAAACAAAGATTTGATTTAAAAAAGGAAATGAGAGAAGCAGCAATGCAGGGAGTGGGCGAGTAGGGGCTGAGTTCCACCCAATTCCCAACCTCTGGCCCAATAGCAAGGATCTCAGAACATTACGGTAGGGGATTGTAACTAAGCACCAAAGATGAACCATTGCGACCGAATCAGATGGGTGACTTGGTTTCAGTTATGACTCATGAGCCTGAGGGGCCCATTTTATTGCTAAGAGAAGAAAATGTGACTTGCTACAGAGACGTGAAGAATGAGGATAATAAATCAGAGGGGCTTGAACCCCATCCACTGCCATTTCTGACAGCAAATACAGAGGATGCTCCTGTGTGCTAGAGGGTTCCTATTGGAAGACCAGACCCCTTGTCTTCCTCTGAGCACTCCCCAGAGGGGCTGGGGGACCACGACCCAGCAGCTGCTTGGTCCATCAAGGGGAAATAAAGGCAGCCAGCTTCCCCACTACTGCCACTGACAGCTCCCGATGACCGCCATATGCAATATGCTACATGTTACGTCCTGTTTCATTCACCCGTCAGCCACAGAAGGTGCACACGAGCATCACCCTAATGCTGCGGGTGGGAACCCTGAGACTTTTGAGAGTTTAAGTAAGTTGCCCCTGCTGGTGTTGACACAACCTTAGGGTGGGAACAGTTTCAGCCAAACCCCCTAGTGACGGTCCTGGAGAGCAGCAAGTCTTCCAAAGTGTACTCTTTCTAGTTTCAGCATTGCTCCAGTGAACTTACTGTGTGCAGACACGGGAAGGGCACACGGGGGCAGAAGACAGAGCATATAGGGAACCGTGGGTCACCCTTCAACTTACAGCAGAAGCAATCAGGTTAAACCTACAAAAACCATCCCCTCTCTTATTTCCCCTGCTTCCTATGCGAGGCTCTATGACACAAACATTTTCTACAGCAGCTCTTTTATGGTGAGCCCGTCACCCCAGCATAAGTTAGCAGTGCTGTCAGACACTGTGGAGCCCCACACCATGCACAGCCCCCGCTCCCATCATGAATGCAGAGCAAACCTGGCCATCTGCCTGTCTCCTTGGCTTTTTTCCCTTTACCATCTCCACCTCTTGAGGGACAAATATGATGGTGCTGCGCCCACGCCTGCTGTCCCCCTGCCCCTCCTATGCTTTCTCTGTCACCATGGATGGTGTGACAAAGCCAGCCTCCCTGCCTCTTGCTCTGCTGTAGGTCTCTTCCACATGGGTCACAGGAGAGTGTTTCTCTGCCCAATAACCTCGTTAGCTCCCCCCTGTGACATTCATAACACAAGCGGGGCAGCCAGCCCATGGCCCTGGGCCCACAAAGGCGCGGGTGGGAGCATCTGCCAGCGAAGGGGCAGAAAAGTATCCTCGGCCCTCCCTTCCCTCTGCTACAGGCCTCAGACCGGGAAGCACACCTCACACATGCTCGTCTCTGCTGTCCTACTGCTAGCAAAACCAACTCTTATTATTGGCATATGAATTAACTTCTGATAGCCAGCAAGCACAGGGGGAACAGGAGCACGGCTGCACAGGGAGACTCCACCTCCCTTTTTGTTTTACTAAGAAAATGTTCAGGGGAGTCCTCTGGGAGACACCATCCCATCCCACAGAATTGGGGAGCACTGTGTGCATGAACTTGGCTGTCTCTTAGCAGCTCAGAGTGGCACCAAAGGGGCAATGTTCCCACAGCCAGACAGAAGACCTGCTGGAGATCAGGACGGCGCCGTGCTGCCCCTCCATCGCCTGCTACACAGGAGACCAGCATCTTCCTCTGGACCCCTGAGCACGCCCCCATCTCTCCTCCAGGTTAGTCCAATACTAAGGCCATAGCAGCCCTCCAGCTAGGTCCAGACTGTGAGACTGTGGGCAAGTCACTTCCTCTTTCCAAGGGCCTCGCTTCCCATTTGTCTAATAAGGGGTTGGGTTAGGTAAGTGTTTTTCTAATTTCTAGTTGCAACTTATTAATGGGTCATGAAATTCACTGTGGGTCGTGACCAGCATTTTTTTGTTGTTCTCCTTTAACCAAATAAGAGTAGGATAGAAAGTATCGGGCTCAACATGGTGAAACCCCGTCTCTACTAAAAATACAAAAATTAGCTGGGCATGGTGGCGTGTGCCTGTAGTCCCAGCTACTCAGGAGGCTGAGGCAGGAGAATTGCCTGAACCCAGGAGGCGGAGGTTGCGGTGAGCCGAGATCGCGCCATTGCGCTCCAGCCTGGGTAACAAGAGCGAAACTCCGTCTCAAAAAAAAAAAAAAAATTAAAAAAAAGTTATCAGGCTCACTGCATGCAGTAAGAGTAAATAGGGTTTGGAGATTTTGTATCAGGCTGGCATACTTGTACAAGTATCCTGAATTGTGTTATAAAATGCGTTTCTTCTTTCATGACTTAGGTCGAAGAGTTTAAAAACAGCAGGCGGGACAGTCTCCCAGGTGCCTTTCAGCTTCTTCGCTCTTACTTGAGGATCTGGACTGGGAATGACTCCCAAGGAGAAGAACAATGAGGAGACAATAGAATGTAGCATGGCAAAGTCACAAAGCACCTCTCTCCACTGAGCAGCACTCCTTCCCTGCAGCCCAGGGCTGCCCCAGGACCACCCTCGAGGACATGCCCCTCTCTGCTGGTAGGGAACACTGAACAGAGAGAAAAACAGAAAAACGAAACAGCACTAGCTTCCTGGCTGTAGTGAGCCAACCCCCACAACCCCAACCTGTAGAAAGCTCCACCTACCCAATGCAGCCATTCCTGGAAACCTTCAGCTTTGTCTCTGTGACGGGGAAATGGTCACAACAGCCACTTAGACGAAGGGAGCAGAAAACCAAATTGCATGCATGCAATGATGAAGATGACAACCATGGGTAAATACACACATACATGCCTATGGATGAACTGGAAGGAGGCACAGAAATAAAAGCTGTTCTGTTCGGTGGGGGAAACACAGGTAAGTTTGTAAGATTTTCGTGTAATCCTTATTTTAATAAATAAGAACCAGGTAAAAATTCCTCAGCAGCCTCTTAAGTCTGTTGATGAAAAATGCCAACGAGCTATATGCTGGCACAGAAGGCACATTGAGGGTGAGGGTGTGCCCTCTCCATCGTTAACTGACACCTGGAGAGGTGAGATGCTGCTGACTCCTGAGGCCGAGAGAGGGGCAATTAACTGATCATCGATCCATTCTGATCATTACATTGCGCTCCTCCCTGTTTCAGGGAGCATCCGAAAAATGTACAACATTGAGACTTCTTACAGCTGGGCATCAATGCAATGGAGAGCAGAGGATGGTGTGCTATAATGGCTAGGTCTGTACTACTATATAGGTAACTTCTAAAGAAACTTCTCAAACAAAGGAGGCTCTTGAAGGCTGGGCACAGTAGCTCACATCTGTAATCCCAGTACTTTGGGAGGCCAAGGCAGGCGGATCACCTGAGATCGGAAGTTCGAGACCAGCCTGGCCAACATGGTGAAACCCTGTCTCTACAAAAATTAGCCAGGCACAGTAGCAGGCACCTGTAATCCCAGCTACCCAAGAGGTGGAGGCAGGAGAATCACTTGAACCCAGGAGGTAGAGTTTGCAGTAAGCAGACATTGCGCCACTGTATTCCAGCCTGGGCAACAGGCTCAAAAGAAAAAACCCAGAAAACAAAAAAGGAAGCTCCTAAGTGGAGAGGAGCATTTGAGACACTTCTCAGAAGACTCTCCAGGGAGACAGAAAGGATTGGGAGATAGACCCAAAAAGCTCTGAGTTGGAAGGTGGAGTGCTTGGAGCTTGGGCAGCCTCCACTCCTGCCCCAGTCCCCACCAGACCCAGGGCCTCCTCTAGGTTGCTACATCTGGAGAAAGCAGAAGCAGCCACACCCCTTGTCATGGGGGACAGAGGCCATCTCAGGGCCTAGGGCTCCAGCTCCCCTCCAACCAAAGCAGACCTCTGGAGAATGCCCCTCACTGGTTCAGAGTATTAGCTCTGGAATGAGAGTGAGGTTGAATCTCCATCCCATCACCTACCAAGGGTGTGAAGATGAGCACGTTACCTGACCTCTCTGAGTCTTCCATTTCTGACCTCCAAATAATGAGAATAACAATACCCACCTCATAGTGTTGTTGTGAGGATTAACTAAAATAATCCTTGTAAAGCACAGTGCCTGATTCAAGGTAAGCAATGAATGTCAGCCAGCCTCCTCCCCATCCTGCCCCTCCACTGCTCTCACTCCTGGGACTTCCTGCAGGACTGTGGTGGGTAGTTCTGACTGGAGATGCTCTCCAGTGTCTGGAGGGGTGAGGAGAAAGGCGCCTAGCATCCCTGGTTTGCAGGCAGATGCAGGGAGCAGGCCAAGCAGGCCAGGAAGAATGAGGGCTCTGTGCTTCCTGGAGAATCTGTCACTATCCAGTTGTGTATGTGTCCCAGAAATGACATCATCGAGTCCCCAAAGCCGCCTGCTGCTTTGCAGAACTGGGAGAAAGTGCAGCCCCACAGGGGAATGAAAAGAACCCCATGAACACTCAGCGAATGGAAGAGAGAAGTTGGCAACTCTAACCCTGCACATTCCACATTCATTCAGATGCGGTTCACCCGAGCCAAGGAACGATACCCACACAACCAGGAACATCCGACATTCCCGCCTCCCTCCTGGCAAAACGGTGGAGGCGAAGGACACACCTCAGGGGAATCCCAGCTGGACCCACAGGCACCAGGGGCAGCTCTGGTGTGGTCTGTATGCCTGTTCATGGCAGTGGTGGTGATGGTGAGGCATTAATAAAACGGAGCAGGAAATTCCTCAGTTTCAAACATCTTTTACAAGTGAATCAATGAAGTCTTGGGAGATGAACCGATATGTCTCATGTCACTCACTGTGAGTGCTGGGTCTGCAGTCCAGATGAAACTTTGGGACTCTGGATCCAGAGCTCCTCATAACTTACCAGCAGCTGACCAGCTCCTCAAGGTCACCTCCCATATACTACCAAGGAAGACAGGGCACAGGTGGAAGAAAAGCCCCAAAGGCAGTGATCTGGCTCGGGATTCAAAGCACTTGGGTCCCAGCCCCAGCCCAGGCACCAGCAAGCACAAATGGCTTATCCTCCCAAGGACACTCGGGAGCCCCTGAGCGTCCCACTGGGCTCCCTCACCTGGGCACCAGGCCTGAGAAGTGCTCCATTTCAGCAACTTGGTATCTGTACTTACTGGTGGGATTTTAATGAAGAAAGAGTTTAGAGCTAAATTAGTTTAAAACCACGGACTATGTGGTCGTGCCCAGTAAGTTCAGCATTCATCATTTTGGCTATGGTGGCCAAGGTCTTGGGGTGAAGGGTGATGACTGTGCTCCTGTCCACCAGTAGGGGGAGAGAGACGGTGCTGAGGCTGAAGGAGAAGGGGAAGGCAGGGTCAGGCTTTCCCCATCTCTCTCCTCCTCCTACTTGCAGTCAGGTGGAAATTCAAAGAGCCAGAGCCAGGGTGTTCATAAGGCCAGGAACATCACTGAGCGTGCACCTCATCTGTCACCCCCAGAAGAGGAAGGACCAGCATACGCTGTCCTCGTGGGGCGGGGCTGCCATGACAAGGGAATGCCCATGCAATTGCAATGCCTGCTGGGAGGAGCTGGGGAGGGGGCTGTTTGGAGGGCAACCAGCAGCCTGCTACCCATTCTCTTACAGCCAGAGGGAAGAGAGATGCAAGCCCCACACTGCCTGGCTGCCTGTCCCCACAGGGCATCCTAACAACTTCCCTCAGTCCCACGACCTCTCAGCTTCAGTGGTAGCTCAGAGGCTTGCAGATGCAAAGATGCATTTCCATTCTCCTTCCCAGCACCCATCAAGGTCAATCTCCCACTCTAAATCAAGGGCCACATCGTTGAACTTCTCGGGGCCACCACTGCCTCCCTCTCACTTGGGGATGGAATCAGAGGGAACACCTGTAAGTAAAGCCAGGGCAGGGGCTGGGACAGCACAATGGGTTATAGTCAACACTGGGCTCTGGCCTTGGGGCGGCTATCCTGTGCACAAATAGCAAGGTGCAGCATCTTAGGGTGGGCTTCTAGTGCAGAAAGCGGGGATGTGGGTTCCTGGGGTCCTGGGGAGGGTGAGCACCTCCCCGTCCCCAGTGCCAGGTGTAAACTCAATGCCACTGGCTCTCCTAGACTAACTGGAATCACGCATCGAGCATGGCATCACACGTCAGGAAATCTCCAGTGCCACAGTGCCGTCCCGGGTCATCTCCAGTGGTCCTTCCTCACTTGCAGACCTGGGCGCTCTATCAGCAGAGCTGTGACCGGGGAAACTATGGCCCAGTTCTGCTTCCCCAGTTTTGGAAACTCCAGGAACGGGAATGCTAGGGGCCGTAGTCAGGAAGATCCCCTCCCAGACAGACACACACCCCTGCGCCTGCACTGACCAGGACCTGCTGTAGAGGGACACCAGCAGCTTGCGGCCCTCTCTCTTCCAGAAGCCATTTTAGGCTAAGCAGGGAAGGGAAGGGAAGGAGGGTTCCTCTCTGCCTTGTCACCATCTTACCCAAGAGCCCCATAAAGCAAGGCCGCCTGTGTCCTTCCCACAGCCCCTGTGTTCTCCTGCTCTCCCTTCCCCTTTCACACACACATATGCTCCCCATACACTGTAGAACCATTGCCAGCTCTTTCACAACCAGCTTTTCCCATCAAATAGCTGCATAGCCTGAGGGTTGGCTACCATCTCTCGGGACCCCCACCCTCCACTCGCTGTGCACCTCCAAGACCCTGGCCGCAGATGTTTCATCAGCTCCAGGACGGAGCATCCAGAACTCGGAGAAAAGGAGAGAAGCATGTGAGGGCAGCAGCTCAGGCTGGGATCCGTGCCTCCGACCTCTGGTCCTCAGCCCCTCTGTGCCCGCTACTGGTCAGACACAGTCCCAGGTTTTTGCACATTCATCATCCCTGTTCCCACAACGCACAACCTCCTCTCCGTGGAAGGTGCTTCCTCCAAGAAAAGCGGCCTTTGGTGTTTGCATTGTGAAGCCAACTGTTGTAAAACTCCAGGCAGCCAGGGATTCTATGTGACTCGGTCAGTTACACAAACCCAAGTGCAGATCAGGCAAAGAAATATCTTTCGATACAGGCCCATCCTTTCCAGATCCAGGAAACTTCTGAGGACCACCCCCCCCGCCCCCGCTTTGCCCAGTCCATACCTGAGGCTCAGTGCTTAGCACATGGTTTGCATTTGGTTTGGGGGTGTCCTTTCTCCTGTCATTTCCCAGCTCCTGACCAAAGCTAGCTCAAGGCCCCCAAACACAGTCTTCGTAACTGCCTCTGTCTCCCTCTGGGCCTCTGTCCTCAGTCCCTGAATCCCAGGCTCCCTACTCTGGCCCCAGGGTTGGCAGCCAGCCAGAAGATCTGGGCAAGAAGGCCACGGGTGGGGGATGGGATCCCCAGTTTCCGAGAATAGGTCTAGACAGAATCTGGGGATCTGCCCACACACCCAGTAACTCCACCCAGGACCCCTACCTCAATCAGAGATCAGAGAGGAGGAAGGAGATAGACCCCAAAAGATCTGTTAGTCAAGAGACAGTGTCAAAGCAGAGCTCACAGCTGGGCAGTGGGGAAGTTTAGGGTTGGGGGTCAGCTGTCCTGGGGCCAGAGAGAAAGAACTGGTTGACCCCTCCCCTACAGTGAATCAAGATGAGAGAGGAAAGGGACGGCCAAGCCTGGGAGACAAAATGACAGGTCACTGGAGGTCTGACCTCTCCGGCCTGGGCCAGACAGCAGAAGGGAAGGAAGCCAGAGTGACCACTGTGCAAAAGGCAGCAGGGGTCCACTGGGCTCCTAAGAACCTCCCCCAGGGCTGCAGGAAGGACAATGGACTCTCCCACCAAGGTGCACGGGGCGCATGTGCACGCCATGAGGCCTGGCCTGCATCCAGAAGAGCAGGACTACAGAAAACCAGAAAGGGGAAACCTGTGCCCTGGATGAACAGGCAGGCAGCGGGGAAGACTCAAGCCTGCAAGTACAGAGCACACAGGTCCCACCAGAAACAGACAAGGGCAGCCAGAAAAGGAAAGCCATCATATCCATATTAGTAGGAACAGTTAAATCAGGCTTAAAATCAGAGACGGTAGCATTTTCATAATTAGTGAAGGTCCAACCTACACATCTAGTTTACAAAGCACTTCCACGGGCATCATCTCTTTCTGATTTTAATTTTCCTAGCTGCTCTGAAAAGGCTGTAGGATGATGTATCAACAGGCTTGTTTTGCAGATGAAGAAGCTGGGGTTCAGAGAGGTCAAGCAGCTAATCAAAGGTCACCCAGTTGAATTTAGCAGAGCCTGACCTTTTGACTGTGAGCACAGGGCATATGCACTACATTGTACATTATATAATCATCTGTAGCACTCAGGAGTAACATGTAGCAATGTATTGAAAAAAGTTACCACCGGAGTCCACCTATGCAATTTACTTGTGGCAAATTTGAGGTGAATCACACCAAAAGGTCTTCCCAAGTGATCGACTTTTTACCTAAGGTTTCTGATTGTCAAAACATGAACTCCTGACACCTCTCCCTTGGATGAGTAAGGTTCTGGGGTCTCTGCCATGGCCACTACCAAGAAAAATAAATAAATAAAGTAGAAACTGGCCAAGGCTCTTTTAATAAGATAACAGCAAACCACTGCCTTGAGTTCCTAAGGAAAATACAGAGCAAATGGGCCAGTAGGAACTGTGTGTCAATTGCGGGATCCACGTGATAGGCAGAACTGCAATGCTAAAGGCTGTGCCAAAATCAAAACACCTCCACATGAAGTGGGGGCATCACAACCCGGTGCTCAGAAAGTAAAGCCTTACCGGAAGCCAACCAGGTTCACTACCCCCGGCAACACACACACAGCGGAGAGAACAGCCAGAAGGCCATAAATGCCCTACGGTTAAAAAAAAATTCCTTTGGTCTCCCTCACCATTCATCAAGGCAGGCTGCATATTTACCTTGACATTGTTCCTTTAACCTGTATTTGCCCCCATTCCCCCCAGATTTCCTCTTGGGCATATCTCCAAGCCATCCTTTTCCTTAAAAGATTAAAGATTTAAACACAACCAGTGACCAGTACGTATAATCTTCAAAGAGCACTTTAGCCATCATAAAGAATATTTTAACAGGCACTAATTTTTTTCCTTACCACACCTGTCCTCATAAACCGTTTATGAGTATAGCAGAGAAAGCGAACAGACCAGCTCAGATACAGTTAAAGAGAAAGCCACCCAAGAATGAAACTTCAGACTTTAGACTACTCAACACCACCCCTCCCCTAAACTCCTAAACTGACATGAAAGTTCATACTGCCTTTTGCCTCTCCCTGAACATCTCCCAAAAGAGCTCTCGGGCCTCCGTCCCTGGCCCAAGCCTGATCTTACCGGTGGCACACAGAGCGATGAAGGTCTGGGCATGCTTTCGGATCAGAGACAGCTTCTCACGCTGCTGAGGCAGCTTGCGCAAGATGTGCTCAATGAAGTCGTGAGGAGTGACAGCTGCCAGGTTCCACTTCAACTTTCCCAGCACCACCAGCTCCCACTCCTGGAGGGGAAGGCAGGAAGAGAAGAGGAGAATCTAAAATCCACAGGCTGACCTGGTGTCGGGGGCTGGGGGTTGGGCTCCAGACCCATTCTAAGGCCGCTCATTAGGACGTGGCTGCTAGATTGCAAGGCCGGCCCATTTGTCAATGTGCCCCTCAAGCTTTGAAGCTGTTGACAGCTCTTCTTATGCTTCAAATGTCAGGCTCCACTGAAAATAATGAGAGCCCAGGTAGCTGTTGCCAAGATGCTATTTTCTCCTATTTCGTTTCCACTCCAGCTCCCCTTGCCCCCTCCCAACCCTGACTTACAGGCAATACTGCCCGCCCACCCAGAAAGGAGAACCTACAATAAGATTCGACCAAGGTCATTGTGGCCCTTTCACGGTGATTGATTGTATATGTCTCTATCACCGAATTAATAGTCTTTTTAATCTTCATGGAAAAATGATGCACGCAGATAAAACTCAGAGTAAGGTTCCCTGGCCCAACTCCTCGGCAACCGATTAGCTTACTTTTGCTTACTGCCAAAGTGCCTTTTTTCTCTCTGCTGTTCAAACTTTCCCCTTTGACATATCACGCGGAAATCTTGGGGATGTGACATTCAGCCCTTTCACCTCAAGGTTTCACGGGCGTTTGTCATCATGACTAAAGGATCACATGGTCATTAGCAACCCCATTTTGCAGATGGAGGTGACCTGAGGCAAGGCTCAGGGTCACAGCATCTTTCCATGCAAGTGTGGGGACAACACAAGCCTGTGTCTTTTGGGCCTCTCACCAGCAGCCCACCTGAAGAAAAACCTGGTTTCCCCTTTTCACTGAGATACTTATAGGAAACTGTGCTCAAAGGGAAACAGTCCAAAATAAAACATTAAAAATATTGTATGTGCTATCAGGAAATATGCGTATCCACTGGGCTGTCATCAGAAGAATGAGAGGTTGGGCCTATTTGCCAACACATCCCCTCTCCCATTCACATGGAGAACTTGGAATCTCTTTCATTTGCTAAACCAGCAACCAGAACCCCAGTGCTGGAGCAGTGGGGCAGGGGTGATTCCCTTTCCTTCCCAGGCCTCAGCCTTCTCATTTGTAAAATAGGACACTTCCAAATCCCAACTTCTGGGATAAAGGGGAAGGGGACAGGAAAAGGCCAGGTCGTGTAGAGCTATATATTGCTTGGGTATTCTTGGAAAGATTCATGTGTCCTGAAGCCGTGATTCACCTCAGTTCACCATCCTCTTGAAACAAATGAACCATATGAAGATGTTTTTCCTGCTCTCCCATGAGAAAAGCAAATTGGTTCCCAATTCTAAGAATGTTTTCCTTATAAGCTTTAAAAATCTGCCTTGGCTTTCTGTGGACAGCTGGGGTAAAGGGCCCCAATAAACTACTAAACCACCATCATCTTCAAAAAGATGGCTTGAAATGCCAGCCCTTCCTTCTCACAGGGTAATGCGAGTGCGGACCACTCGTCTTGTACCATTATTAAAGGAAGCAGATCTCCCAGAAGAAAGCACCTTTCTGGGCCTCTCGGACCAAACCAGAAGCAGCTAAAATCTGGCAGCGGTTCAAAGGTGAAGTCATTCAGGCCCCTCTCCACATTCTCGGCAATTCCTCCCCCAACCTTGTGCATGTCTTCCACTAGATGGCAGCACAGCCCCAGAAAGGAAGGCTCCTCACAAAGCCCAGTTCAAGAAGCCAGTCTCAGCCCTGTGGACTTTGTGCAGGGCCTGCCAGTAATGAGGGGGAGGGGGCGGGAAGGCGGGGGTGCTTTTCTAAACAGTTCAGAGGGGGTGTGCAAACCACTGAAGGTGGGCCTTGGAGCTGCTCTTCCATCCAGTACTGCTGCAATATGGCCGTCTTATATGTCAAGCTGCAGGGAAAAGGAGTTAGATCAGGTGGGAAAAAGGTTCCCTGGTAGAAAACCAGAGATAAGACAGGACCCCTGGGGTTGTACAGAGGTCACAATTCTACTGGAGTTAGAACCCAGGCCTGGGATTCCTTCAATGAAAGGGCAAATTTTGACTTTGCGCCCAGTCGATGGATGAACTGATATTCGGTAAACAGCTATTATGTGTAGGTATCTTGAGGCTTTAGAGGCATTACCTTTGAACTCCAAGTTTTTAGGAGACACACAGCACAGCCACATACCTATCATGTGAACACATTCTCAGACTATTTTTGAAAATTTGGAATTTAATTAAAATATTATCACTGTTAGTTAAAATATTCCATGCTTCCCCTACACACATGCACACACATTGCGAATGAGTCTCACCAACCCAAATCTCCATGAGGATCTTATTCACAGATGTAGCCTCAGTGCTGGGCACGGAGCCTGGGCACATAGTAGGAACACCAAAAAAAAGACAGCGGTTTCCTACTAAAAGAGCCATCGCCTGTAAGTGTGAACATTCTATTGGTGGGATCATTTTTGGATCCCAAGAATTTGCTCTGGAAGTGGTGAGTAGAAGATATATTGCTGGCCAGGGGAAAGCGGGAATCGCAGAAAGGAAGGGAGGAAGGGGCCCGTCATTACCAGCAGCTCCTGAGGCTTGATGGAGTTGTCAGTGTAAATGCACAGCTTCTCCGCAGTCAGCGGGCTGGTCTCTTTGAGCTTGGAGGCCAGGAACATGCAGACAGCACCCAGGAGTTGCAGATGGGACTTTGGAGTCGGGACCCCAGCCAAGAAACGGTCCAGGTAATTCATGGCCAGAGGGAAGACCTCTTCTTCGCACTTCTGTTCCTCACAGACCTACGATGGGAGTGAGAAAGGGTTGGGGGGCGGGGGTGGAGAGCACAGCATCAGCAAAAGAGAAAAAGAATAAAAATGCATAATGTATGGAAACAAAAAATTTTAATTTTTTGTGGGGGGGGGAGGGGAGTAGAATGTGTGATAAGAATAAAGAACAAAGATGAGGAAACTGGGGTGCATTAGAATAGCCCATTCTGGCTTTGGCATTCCCAGGGAGCCTATAGAAGGGGGTGAACTACAGCTCCAAAACGGGGAGTCGGGGAAGTGCGCAGCAGCCGCGGCAGCTCCGCGACGCTCCCTTTGGCTACTCCTTCGCGCACTCTAAACTCACTCACTCTTTTTTGGATTTCGTCATCTTTTCAAAAAATCAATAAAAATATTCTGGAGGCTCCGAGGGTCCACTTCTTGGTCTCATCGGGATCCTCAGATCCTCCTCTATCATTCCCGACAATTGAAAAAAATGTCCGGGGGGGTCCCTGCGGCCCAGGGGCCGCTATTGGGGGGGCGGGTGGGGAGAGGTGGGGAAGAGAGGGGGAGGGAGGAGAGGAGGAAGAGCGCCGCAGCCTCGGCAGCTGGAGTCGGAGCAGGGGGGGGACAGTTTCAAAAAATAATTAAAAATCGAGGAAATATCCTAGAAAAGCCCTTTTGGCGTGAAAACCCCAAAGAGGAATCAGGCTTCCCGAAACGTAAGTTTCGGGTGCCAGAAAGGTCTGTATTCCGACCCCTGGGGCTTTAGATCCCGGGAGGAAACTTAAAGGGGTGAGCGCCGCGGCGGGAGTGTCCGGCTGCGGCCCACAAGGACAGAAACTAGGGAACGTGGTGACGAGCTGGGGGACAGACGGGAGCAGAGAGCCCTTTAAGGAAGATGGGGGCTCCGACTTCTCCTTTAGGGGTGACCCGATATACCCCCTACACACACACCCTCCCCCCCTTCCTACCCCACCCAAATCTCCGCACAGAGGAAGCTGGAAAGCCAAACTGTAAGTAACCTTCGCGAGGTGGGGGGGTGGGGGAGAGGGCACGATTCAAAGCGGGGTGGCCGGGATAATGGGGTGCAAGGGTAAGCTGGCGACGTTTCCCAGCCTTTCCAACGGGAGTTTGCAAAGCAACATGGCGAAACCACGGCAGGTCCAGAGCTGTGCATACGTGGGCACACGGCTCGCTGGGCAAAGACTTGGAGTGAGGGGCAAGACGTGGTTCTTTAGGTTCCCCAGAAACACACGTTTCTTCCCTGTAAGTTTCGGGGCTCCAGAATTCCCCGTTTCTCTCCTTCTGCCTCCTCCCTCCACCTCCCCCCTGAAGTGCCAGCGCGGAGTTGCGACCACATGCAGGGACCAGAGGCCAAGACGAATGTGCTTTGGCCTTTTGAGGGGGCTGCCTTTCTACTCGGGGTCCCAGTTTCTGGCCCCGACTCCCTTCCTGGCCGCAGCGAAAGCAGCCGCGGCGGCTTCGCAAAACACAGGTCTCGGGGCGGGGGTGGAGGGGTGGGGGTGGGAAGAAGAGGCAGCCACATGCAGGCACACGCGCGCGGGATGCTCCCCCACCCCCGCCCAGGACAGCCTCATTTCTTCCCCAGATTTTCCTCCCGCCTCTCCTTCCCGAGTTAATCTGGAGAGGAAGAGTAATAAAGCCACGCGTCTCGCCAAAAGGCGCGCGGTAACCTCCCGCACAGGAGCCGGGAGGCCGGCGCGGGGACTGCCCTCTTCCAGGTTTAGGGCTCCTGCCGGGGGGCCGAGAGTCACGGAGCGGTCCTGGCTCCTAGAGAGCGCCGCCCGCAGACCTACCTCCAGCATCCAGGTGGCCACCATCCTGCGCATGTAGGGCTGGATGTCTTTTTGCACGCACTTGAAGTAGGAGCATTGCGGAAGGTAGCGCTCCTCGATGGTGAGCAGGTTCTGCAGGACGCGGTCGTCCTGTAGCAGGTTGCGGTCCCGCACGGCCCTGCGGATCGGGTCCACCTCGCAGCACAGTAGCTCCATGGCCAGCCCGGCGACCCTTCTCTCCCCTACTTTCTGCGGACTGGAAATGTGTTTTTTGTTTTTTGGAAGGGGAAGGGAAAGGGTTCCCCCGATCTCCTTCCTTTGGCTGAATAAGGGGGTTCGGGGAAGAAGTGAGCGCAGAGAGAGAAGGTGGAGCAGAAGAGGGGCGAGGATTGGGCGGTGGGCAAGCAGAGCCTCGGGGTCTGCCTCACTCGCACCGGTCCTCCCCTTCAAACTGGTCTTGCTCTCCCCAGCTCGCTCTTCTCCGCTCTGAGGCGGTGACGCAAGCTGGCTAGGCAGTTAGCTCTCCTCCCTCTCCCCACGCTCCCCGCTCTGGTTCCTCCTCCCCTTCCCTCCCCTCCTGGCTCGCCCCTCCTCCTTTCAATCTCTCCCTCCCTCCCTCCTTTTCCCCTCTCGCTATTAAGGAGAACAGCAGCTGCCCCGACCTAACTTCAAACGCCGTCTCCCGCCCCCCCAACCCTTCTCCCTCCTCCAGCCCTGCGTGCCAGGGGCCCCGGACAGGGCAACCCACAACAAACTACTGATTCCTATTTCTGCCCTCTAATTTCGCTCATTCTGTGGGTGTAGCGCGCCAAAATACGACCCTCCAACTTTGGCTCCTTCAAAACGGATCTTAATTCTCCTGCCCTTGTATTCAAGATCCAGGCATGTAGGGTAGATTACTTGAAGATGGGGTGAGCTCAGACAATTTAGAAATAGATCCCTTGAGTGAAAAATAAGAAAGGGGGTGATTTTAGAAAATAGTAACCTCGCATACCCAGAGATAAAGGTCACGTCCCTGAAGTTCATGTTCCTGATAACTTCGAAGCTGTTTCAAAAGCCCCGATTAAAGGGAACAGAACGTCGTCCCTTCTGCCGCCCCCCCTCCCAGCAGTGTGTGGAGAGGAAGAAGAGGGAGGGGTGGGTGTTAGGAAGGAAGGGGGATGCTTCTCTGGAGGGACAGAGTGTGCTTCACGAGCAGAAACCGTCGTGTTCCTGGGGGCCCTAGGAGCGCCCTGGGGCGAAGCGGTATAGCGCCCAGGGCCGCTGCAGGCCGGGGGCACGGTTCCCAGCGGTTCCTCCGCGGCCAGCGGCCACGCAAGAAAAACCCGCTTCCTCGCCCCTGCATCTGCTGACAAGCCGCCCGAGGTGTCTGCGCCGAGCGTGGCCACACCGATACAGCTTTCTAGGAAATGGCCCGGGAGGGGGAGGGGGGCGAGAGAGGGATTAGGTCTGGCTCCCTCTCGCTTCCCCTGCGCAAACACCACCACCCCTTCCTTTCCCTGGAGGCATAAGGCCACCACCCTCGGTCCTTAGCCCGCATCCTCGCCGACCCCTCCGGGTTCGCGCCTCTCTCGCCAGGCTTTCTCCCTGGGAGCGGATTGCGGTGAAGTCGCCGCCAGCACCGTCGGCCCTGACACGTGCTCTAACGCATCCTCCAGTCAAGGCTGTCTTTACAGGAGATTGATCTGCTGGCGCTTCCACACCTCCTTCCTCCGGTCACCCCCAACCCCCACCCTGCCCTTTCACTCCAGGAGAAAGGAGAGAGCCCAGCGCCCCGTTGTGCTGGCCGAGCTGGCACGTGCAGCGGGCATGGCGTGGCTCGAGCCCTCTGGGCACACCGAGGCCGACCGTGCACCTCCCTCATCGGGAGAGGGGGCCCGGGCAGGGGCGCGGAGAGCCAGCAAGGCGGGGTGGGGCGCAGGCTGGTGAGCCGTACACTAGGTTCCCTGCAAGGCGGAGGAGGGGAGCGAAGAAACCAGAGGTGCAAGCGATTAACTCAGGCCCCGAAGCCAGCCTCTTTAAACGAGGGTGGGGCGGAAGGTGTAGGGGGCAGGAGGGGGATATCGCTTTAAAAGGGTAAGAGTTTGGGGCGCCGTCTCCCCTCCCTCTATTTGCATAGCCAATAGCTCTGGGGCTCCTGCTACTGCGCGCTGATTGTTACCGGGCAGATTACTTTTTTTTTTTTTTTTTTTTTTTTTTTTTTTTGGTAGGACGCGTTCCCCGCTACATCAAAAGGAAGCCAAGGGAGGGCGGAGGGAGAGCTGGCGCTGGGGCGGGCTAAAGCTCGGGAAAGGCCCGGCCACCTCCGACCTTATCAATAGCAGCGGGAATGAGTATCCCATCTCCTATATGTAAAGAAAGGGGAGGGAAGGGGCGGGCGAAGAAAATGTCTAATTGCTGTGGAAGCCATTAGCTTTCGGGAAGAAAAAAGCTCGCTGAAAAACCCAAGTTGCAAACTCAAAATGAAACAGTCCAGCGCCGCGGATGACACCCGGGCCGAGTACGGTGTTCACCCGCACACAGTCGGTCCCGAACAATCACCTATTGATTTTAGTCACCTTGGACTTCCCGACTTAAGCTTTTGAGTCACCCCTGGTAAATACATTCACTTACATTTTAAGACCCCCATAAGGGAATTACTCCAATTTCACCGAAGCCACCTTTGAGCCGATCAAAGAAAGTTGTTGCGTGGAGAGGGGAGAAAAGGAGGGAGCGCGGGAGGTATTTTTAAAGTATAAATCTAACCCGACAGGCAAGGACAGAGGCCGCCGGGGATCCCAGCCTCTGGACATCACTCGATAGCTCTGGGAGCAGGATCTCTTCTGTCCCCCCCGCCGCACCCCCCTCCCACAAGGAAGGCATCTCCAGTTCTGGGTCTCCCGAAGTGGGGGGAGGGGTGAGGAAGAAGCGGGTGGTCGTCCCGGGGCCTTGCCCACCAAGAGGAGAATGTCTGGGTGGCGAGTCCTCAGGTCTCGGGAGGGAGCCTAGGGCCGTCTCGCCCCTTCCCCCCACCCGTCTTGCTTTACAGAGAAATTCCAGCGGGGAGGGGGGCGGCGAAGGGGAGGGGCAGAGAGGGTCGCGGCCGGATGCTCCCCCTTCCCGGCGGTTTCTGCATTCTTGGAGACCCGCAAGTTCGGGCGCTTCCCGCGTGGCAGGCTTGTCTGTTGAAGATCCCCTGTCCACTTCCCCTTCCGATTATGGACTGTTTAGAGCGTGAACCTCGCCATCGAATCCAATCCCCGGTGGTGTTTCAGACACTCTCTCACACGTGGGGTGGGGTGGGGCGTGAGAGGGTGCGGAGGTTGGCAGGAATGTCTCTAGGAAACTTGGACTGGAAACTTAGTTTTCCCTTTTGGTCGCCACTCCAGCCATGGGTTAAAACCTTAATTTCTTGTTAAAATGAACTCCACCTAGTACGCGGGAAAAGGCATGTTGCCTTCTGGGCGAAAGTGCACATTTTCTTTCAGTGTAGACTTTGGTTTAGAGAAAAAGCCCAAGCGTCTGTGTTCTGGCTTTGAAGTACAAACTGATCACCTTGGCGGGAGGGTGGGGGGCCGCGAGGAGGGTGTATAGAATGTTGGTTCTTCCTTATCTCCTTTTCACCGTTCACGGAAAAAAATACATATCCCATGTAGGACTGGTGATAAACTTCAGTGAACGCCAGTTTTATTGGACTTTTATTCCCTTTCCGGCCGGCTCCCCACCCTCTACTTGCGTTTTGGAGTTTCGGTTGGAAAGTGTACAAAGCCTGGAGGTGGAGGGTGCAGCAGGGTGTTGGGTGTTGGGTGTTTATAGGCACATTTCCGCAGGAGCTTGCAGCACTAAGCACACTTACTCCCAAGCTCACCTGGCGGATGCCTGTCTGCCAGCCAGGTGATTGCGGTCGGCTCGAGGCCTGAGAGCAGCGCGAGTTCGAGTCCCGCAGCCTCCGCGCAGGGGCGTTTAGGCCGGGTGGGGAACGAAGAGTGATTGAGTTCAGACTCAGGAATGGAAGCCATGCCTTCCCCTCGGTTCCCCCAAAGAGTAGAGCTGCGTTTGTGATTCTCCGTGGAGAATCAAATGATGGTCAATCAAAACCGAAAACCCAACTGGCAAAATGCGAGGAGACAAGTAGGAGGCACATCAAGAGGAAGGAGTGGGTACAGGCAAAGTAGAAAAATTCGGGCTAGAAGAGGGAAACGTCGGGAAGCGGAGATCACCGGGGAGGAGGATGGGTGGGGATCGCAGTGCGATTGCAGGTGTGAACTCGCTTCCGGGACCCTCGGGTAGCAGACCCCTGGGGCGCTGGGGCGCTGCGCTCTGGAGAGGGGCAGAGTCCGCCCGGTCTGTGCATCCGCACTCCTTTAGGCGAATTTCGGCTCGGACCGGGCTGGATTCTTGAGGCGGCAGATGCGAGAAGCGAGGGTTAAGAAGGAGAGCGCCTGCCGTCTGTCAGCCACCTAGCGTCTCACTCCCCTCCCTTAGGAGGAAAAAAAAAAAATTAAAGACCCGAACTTCCCCCTCTTCCTGTCTGATTCAGCTTAGGACACGCCTCACGCGGCCGAAAATAGCTCTGGAAATACATTTGCTTTACAAAAGTGAATTTTCCAATAAGCTTTGGGGCGGGGGGCGTCCGGCTGCTGGCGTCGGGGGGGTGCCCAGCGTCCCGGGAGGAGAAGGAACCCGCCGCCTCCGCCCTTCTCCCCCCTGCAGGAGCCCCCGGGAGGGGGCCGCTGGGCGGCGGAATCGCGCCTCCGCTCGGGGAGCCACCACGCGGCTTTTTCGCGGAATTTTGACGTCATCTACACGTGGGGGAAGGGGCTGGGAGAGAGAGAGGAAGCGGCGGGGGAGGGGGCCGCGGCGGGGAGCGCGCGGCAGCGGCGGCGCAGCGGGTCTGGCACCCTTGCGGTGGGCGCCGCGCAGGGCAGGGTCCGGGCCGCCGGCAGCGCGGCGGAGACCGCCTTACAGCGGGCCAGGGAGCCAGCGCCGCGACCCTCCTCCCTCCCCGCCCCCCGCCGTCTTCACCCCTAAGCAGTTTACTTTTTTTTTTTAATTTAACTTTGAATTCGGGGCGGCTCTTTGCTCCGGAAAAAGCTCTTTTCTTTGGGTTGTGGTCCAGTTCCGCTGGGTACTGAGATCAGACTGAATATCGCGATCGCTGGTCGCGACCCCGCCACTTGATTTTGTATCCTCTCTCCAGTTAGAGAGTCTTGCATGTCTTTTTCGGTTCCTCGGGGAGTGAGTTCTGCATTGACTTTTACACCGGGGGTTTTTCACGCACGACATATTCCTCCCTGCTTCCCCGCCCCATTAACCATCTCAGTATCAGCTGGGTTGGTTAGTACGATGGCTATTACGTGTAAGATGTCTCGTGCATGCATTGTGAACGATATCGGATACATTTGCTGCATTTGGACCAAATCGGTCTAGAAATACCCTTTTCAAAACAGTTCTTACAAACCGATGGGAAAACGTGTAAGGGCGACTCCCTTCCCACTCGCTGGATACCCTCGTGGCATCTGTACTCATGGAGAAC